CATCAACATCTCACACGTTGTCTATTCATCTTCTCTCCTCGGAACAAACTACAAACTAATATGAAGACTGACGTCCTCTTCATCATCATTCTGCCGGTTCAACACACTGTCACAACCATCACCCAACTTTAGCAATGCTCCGACAACCATCACCCAACATCCTAAAGTGGAGAAAAACTCCAGTTTTTTGCAATTGCATGGTAGGTAGTAAGGACTGAAGACTTCAGGTACGGTGTATCAGGGCTGGCACCACAAGGCCAGTGCCGAAAGTTGCAGATCTAGTTATGGTGCGCCGACGATGAGTTCTTGATCGGTTTGTGGCGTCTCAAAGTGGTAGAGCTGCCGAGAAGAGTCATCCCCAATTTGGCGTAGATCTCAGGCGAGCAAGAAATAGGCCAAAATACATTTTCCTCCACCTCACCTGAACCATCAGTTCTTGCTTCTTGATGGTGGTTTCGCCGTCCTACACCATAAGCTTAGAGAGTTTGCATTAAGGCGAGGGCCAAGTTTTATATTTATAAAAGCCACTACTACCTTCACTAAAAATATACTTAGGGTGAGTAGGGATCGTCCTAAGGGATTGGAGTCGAATTTAGTTGTGGAATCACTTTTAGGGTTAGTAGGTCGAGTGATCAAACAAATAGTTGGTTAGTTGATTAAACCAGAGAGCAAATTAAACTAAATAATTGAATGCAATGAAGAGTAAGTAAGAGAGAGATCTTGGGGTTTAGAGGTCACCACCAAACAATAATTTTCTACACCCTTAACAAGTGACTAATGAGGGAAATGTGTGTTGCAATAGTGATGTGTGTGTGTGTGTTTGGTTGATTCAATTAGTAAGGGTGACCAATTAAGTATATATTGTCTAAGCAACATGTGAAAAGCATAATATATCTAACAATTAAGTATATATTGTCTAAATAACATGTGAAAAACAAAATATATCTAGCAAGTCATTAATCATTTTATTAAGCTCACAAACCAAATACACCACAAGGTTAGAGACATATGCTACTTGCATTCAAAAGTATGGAACATCAAATAACAAGCATGTATTGTCCTCCCATCTAACAACTATGCTACCACTACACTACAATTAAGCTAATGACATGAAATTAAACTAATTAAGCTAAGGGAGAGGCACAATCCATCAAGAAATAAGCATGAACCATCAAGAAAATTACAAGAGCATTCCATTAAGCACAATGTTTTGACAATCTCTAGATCTATAGCATGAATACACATAGACATGCATCAATAACACAAGAAATAGAGACAAACACATGAACATCTATTCTAGTATACATAGACATATGGATAGAATGAAATGATCAATTGGAAGCATTAAACCGCATAAATCATTGAATAAACAAGATCTATATATATATAAGTGCCAAAACATATATTACAACACTAATCCCTCAATAATATACAAAATCAAGATGTAGAAAGCATGCTTGGGGCTAACTCTAGCCCAAGAGGATGTCTAGCCACTCATGGTAGTGCTTCTCCAACCCTCAAGGGCTAACTCCATGGTAGAGATTTGTTCCTTGGTTGATGAAGAGTCTCCAATAGTGTCTCTAGCCTCCTCCTCCTCTAAGCTTCCTCTCCAAGACTTCTACAAGGTATGATATGATATGATGTAAAAAGTAATCATTATCCTTATATAGGTAGGTCAAATGACACCCAAAATAAGCTGGGGTCGTACAACAAATATTCCCTAATGATTGGATAAAGGACAACTTTTTGTGGGCTGGAAATTTAACTTTTTCGCACTAGAAGAAGTTCGATTGATCGACCCTTGGACTTGGATCGATCGAACATGGCTGAGATCTATCGAACTGAAGTTGAATTGATCCTCAATGGCGGCGCTTTTTGGATAAAAACAAATCTGAGATATTTTGAAGATATTTTTGGGAAAAGGGTAAAAGTGGTTGATAGGGTGATACAACTAGATAAGATCAATCATTTGGATAAGGACAAGGTAGTTCGATCGATCGAAGAATGATGTTGGATCGATCGAACTTTTGAGATCTCTGAAAATGTCATCATGACTCTGATCCATCTTGAAGTGCTGAGATCGATCATGTTGGATCGATCGAACTTTGATCTGAGATCGATCGAAGATGTTGCTTTCCACCTTTTTCTTCCTTTTGCTTCCACTTGGTTCCTTTCTTTGATTCATCCCAAAATTGCTTCATTTCTGCTCTTATTTGGCTGAGTTAGCTTATTTTCGGGATAAGTGCCTGAAAATGGAAATAATACGAAATCAATCTAAAACGGTAAAGTAAGATAGATAAAGGTACTAGAATATCTAAGCTTAAGGGGTTTAAATACGCACTTTTCAGCGCTCATCACTTCTTGTAAATCTCTGTATCGCTCTTGAATTTTATTTTGGGTGGATTAATTAATTGTTCTATGTGTTTTTTTTATGTGTTATAGGTACATATTTTACTTCTTTGTATTGTGATTTAACTTATCTGTATACATAGCTTTATTCGTATAAAATACTATAAAATTAATTGTTATTGATTTCTGAATTTCAGTTTCCTCGCCTAAACCATAAGAGAGACCCAAAAGAGGGAGGTGGAACGTTGCTTAGGCCAGAGAGAGAGAGAGGAGAGACTGGAAGATGAACGCACGCACATTCTTTTTTTGTCAGCTAGACGCCACCTAGGATTCTACCTAACAAATAGGCCAAATTCATTGGCATAAATATCATTTCCCTACATAAAAATACCATTATCTATTCACACTATATAATTTATTAAATTACACATTTATATATAACGAAAAATTGATATAATGTGGAGTAATTATAAGAAGATGGGGAGTATTAAAGTGGCATGCTCGGATAATATACCTGTAGAGGTTTGGAGAACATTAGGCAATGTAGGAATTGAGTGGTTAAAGAAGTTGTTTAATAACATCCTAAAGCAAGATATGACGCCAAATGAGTGGAAGAAAAGTACTATAGTACCAATTAACAAAAATAAAGAGGATATACAAAATTATGGCAATTATAGAGGAATTAAATTAGTGGGTCATACAATGAAAGTATGGAAAAGGGTAATATAACAAAGACTAAGGAAAGAATCCACGGTATCCGATAACCAATTTGGATTCATGGCAAGGAGGTCTACAATTGAAGCTATATACTACTTAGACAACTAGTTGAAAAATATAGGAGTAAGCAACAAAACTTATACATGATTTTTATAAACTTGGAAAAAATGTATGATTGTGTCCTATGGGATATAATTTATGCGACCTCTGGAAAGAAATCAAATTCTCTTACAAATCATAAAAAGTAACCGTAATATGTATATGAATACACAAACTAAAGCTCGGTGCTAAGCCATATCCTTTTGTAATAATCTTAGACGAAATAACAAAAGAATTTCAAAACGAGATACCATGATGCATGATGTTTGCCGATAATATCGTGATCTTGGATATCTCTAAAGAAAGATTAACAAGAAAATTAGAAATGTGGAGAAATGCTCTAGAATCGAAAGAATTGATAATGTAATGATAACACTTCAAAATCAAGAAATTACTCAAAACAACCACTTTTGTTATATAGAATCGATAATACAAAAGAATAAAGAGACAAATAGCAATATAACTAGTGGGATTGGAGCCGGTTGGACAAAATAGAGATAAGCTAGTGTCATCTTATGTGATTAAAGAATAACACATAAGTTAAAGGAAAATTTTTATAGGGCCGTTATTAGACCAACAATATTATGTGGAGTGAGTGCCTTAAAAAAGAAACAAGAATAACCCGTCGAGAGTCTTAATTATTCCCGCCCCTGTCATTTTGCTCGTGGTTGCCTTCATGTGGCAAAAATCAGAATGTTAAGATGGATGAGTAAAGTTACTAGAAAAGATAGGACCACTAAAGACAATATGAGAGAAAAATTAGGAGTAGCACCCATTGGTGAAAAAATTAGAAAGAGTAGACTTAGATGGTTTGGATACATACATCAGAGACCTAGATATGCGTTGGTCAAACGAGGAAGATTAGTTGTAATATAAGGTAAGAGACGAAGAGGACGATCAAAGATAATATGGGATGATGTTATTAAAACGACTTGAAAAAGCTATATATATATATATATATATATATATATATATATATATAGTATGCGAAATGACATCTAATAGAAATGATTGGAAAGAGAGAATTCATGTGACCAACCTCATTTTTATGTGATTAGGGCAAAGATGATGATGATGATATATATACTAAAAATTGAAATTTATTATAAAAAGTATATGTTATTAATAATTTATAAAAGAAGTTGATTATAATTTTTTTATATTTATTACATATTATATATAATTTTTATTTATTTAATAAACATACCAAATACAAATTTAGTTTACAAACATTAAAACCCTCGAATTTTCCGTTCTTTATTTACATGACAAAAATTATTCAACTAATATATAATTGAATATTACATATATATATATTTGCAAATTAAAGCCTATTTATATTAGACTTCTCAAAGCTCTCAATAGACATTAGTTCAGATGGTACGTGGATGTTCGCAATCTTGCTAGGGGCACATTTTAGTGCTTTTGACTGTCTTAACTTTGATAGAGGGTGTCTGAGTGATTTTTCAAAAACTTGCATGAGAGAAATTTCGAAAAACCTCCCGAAGAGCTTGAGAGTAATTTGCCCTTTATTTTATTATCTTCAAGTTTACCAAACAAACCCTTCATCCTTTTCATATATGGAATCTCTAAGATTGTTGTTATTTGGAAATGGGAATTGTTTGTTTGTTTGTTTGTTTTATTTATTTATTTATTTATTTATTTTTGTTAATGGATAATGGCATCAGTAGGAGACTGACGACAAGTGCATCAGCCACAAGGGTAGGTGTCGTGTAAAGTTGAACCAAAATAGTGTTTTTGCCTAGTTGGTCCCTTAAAGTTTTTGCATGCGTCGAGTATAAAAAGGGACCTTCTCATTTTAGTTACTTATCACCCACAACAAACAAATACAAGCTTGTGCTTGTCGGAGAGACAGAGAGCTAGAGAAAGAGAGAAATGGGAGATCAAAAGCCAAGCGCTGGGATGTTGAGCCGAGTGTATACTAAGCTAAAACCATACCTGGCTATGATCTCCCTCCAGTTTGGTTATGCAGGGATGTACATCATTACCATGGTCACACTGAATCAAGGCATGAACCACTATGTGCTTGTTGTGTATCGTCACGCAGTTGCCACCCTTGTTATGGCTCCATTCGCACTTGTCCTCGAAAGGTCTCTCTCTCTCTCTATATATATATATGTGTGTGTGTGTGTATGTGTGAGTTTGTATTAAACATATAGAATACATAATCTTGTTATTCCCTAGTAATTGAACTAACCACATTATTTTTGTCATTTGTTACAGTAAAATAAGGCCGAAGCTCACGTTCCCAATCCTTATGAAAATAATGGTGCTTGGATTATTGGAGTAAGTCTTTATTAGAAAGGGTTACAAGTACATATTTAGATGAGGGGTATTAAAGATTATAATTTGATGTTTTATTTATCTATTTATCAGGCCAGTGATTGATCAGAACTTCGTCTACTTGGGGATGCAGTATACATCAGCAACCTTTGCATCTGCCACTGTGAATGTCCTCCCAGCTATTACCTTTATAATGGCACTTATTTTCAGGTAAAGATTCCAATATTCAAATTATGATCTTGTGTAGTGCTTTAATTTCTTGTAATAAAGGATATAAAAGAATAAAAATTTGTGGTCTGAACTTCGAAGATAGAATGTGAGAGTGTAGTATTTAGGATTCGGAAGTTGTATAACAACTCTTAATGAATTCGATCAATGAAAATTACTCTTTATTTCACTACAGAGGTTATATCACAACTCTATCGGATCCAATTAAAACTGACTTTTTATTTTATAAGATGGTTAGGTTTTTTCACCAAGTAATTCAATTTGTTGCTGTGAAAAAAAAAAAAAAAAATTATAACTAGATCAAGATGAAAAAAATAATGATAGACTTGTCTTATCATTTTAGCCACGACATTAGTGGTACTTCTAGTTGTACAAGTTTTATATGGCATGCACTGTGATATCTGTATGTAGCACAACTCTTAACGAATCTAGTGAAAATGACTCTTTATTTCATTGGGGAGGCTGATCCAAATAAAACTGACGTTTTTTTTTATTTTTATTTTTTTATTATTATTATTTTTTACATGTAATTATTTGTTGCTGTGAGAGAAAAAAAAAAAAAAATTATAACTAGATCTAGATACTAAAAATAATGATACTTGTCTTATCATTTTAGCCACAACATTAGTTGTACATCTAGTAGTACAAGTTTTACGCACTGTGATATCTTTATGTAGCACAACTATAGTTGTTGAGTTTTTATTGGTGACTGCACCAAAGTGGTGTGCTTATCATTTCCATCATGTACCCTGCATGAATAATATATAAACACGCAGAAAGGAAACGACTTCAGTGTTTGTACTATTATCTGGTTCAGAGCTGGTTCAATCTTAATGCAATTGAAAGAAACCTTCAGGGCCTGCATGAAAAACTAAATAAATAAATAAAATAAAATAAAAAATAAAAACCTAATGAATTTTGGGCCTTGTATTGACTGGTTTTTACCTACAAATTTACAAATGTATAACTTATATGAACAAATCTTTTAGGAGAAAATCAATATAAGGATCGTATATTCGAGGTTTACCTTGCAGTCTCGTGTGCCAAAAGTTCACCAGATTGAAAGGGTTTTTCATTACAAAAAAAAAAAAGAAAAAAAAAAATAATAATATATGGAGAAACTAAAGGAGAATATCATGGAGGAACTGAGTAATATTAATTATATTTATATATTAAAAAAGTCTCATTTATATATTTTTACCTTAGCATCAACTTGTAACAAGCCACTCCTGATCATATGGTGTAATTTTGCTTATAATATTATATGAACACTGCTCTTATTTATTGCATAATTTATGGTTTATCTTATTAGGATGGAGAGAGTTAATTTGAAGAAGATACATAGTATAGCAAAGATCATTGGGACTATAATCACAGTCAGTGGAGCTATGGTGATGACCTTATACAAAGGCCCTATCTTGGATATAATAGGGAACCTCGCCCAAGGAAACCACCATGCAATCGGCAATGGTTCTGCCAGTCACCACTGGGTCCTTGGCACAGTATTGCTCCTTGCTCGTACTTTTGGTTGGTCTGGTTTCTTCATACTCCAAGTGAGTTCTTTCTCAATATATTCTGTGTGTGTAGAGATGGATGGTCTGGAAATGAATTTGGGCATGGCTATAGATATAAGTGATGATATACTTACTCTAAACAAAGGGCATATATATTTCAAATTAAACATAACAGTTCTCAGATAACTGTGAAAGTCTGTTAAAGAATGTTCGATCCATTCTTTTATTCAAGCCCAATTTTTTTTTGTCACAAACTAATTCTTGTTTGGGTTTCTATGGCTCAGTCAATCACATTGAAGGACTACCCGGCACAGCTCTCTCTGACGACTTTGATATGCTTGATGGGCACGCTGCAAGGTTCAGCTGTGGCATTTGTAATGGAGCGCGACATGTCTGCGTGGGTGGTTGGCTGGGACTTGAGGCTTCTAGCTGCAGTTTATTCTGTAAGTGTCATTCTGTCCAGAAAATGTAAACATGCATCAAATTCATTTTATTGTTTACTAAGTGTAAACATGCTCAACCTTAATTAACTCCATTAATTTTGTGATCAGGGGGTGGTTTGCTCCGGTATTGCATATTATGTGCAAGGAGTGGTAAACCGTGAGAGAGGTCCCGTGTTTGTGACAGCATTCAGCCCTCTCTGCATGATCATTACCGCGGTTCTGGAGGCCATTGTTCTAGCTGTGCCAATCCGCCTCGGAAGGTATCATATACATTGCTAAATTAAATTATAAATTCAAACTCAACTGTCATATATATATAATGCTCATAGTGTGTTATATATGAACTAGCAAGAAATTGAATTGATTTACATTGTTTTGATCTCAGTTTAATTGGAGCAGTTGTCATAGTCCTTGGCCTTTACTTTGTGGTGTGGGGAAAAAGCAAAGACCCCAGTTTGAGCTCAGGAAAGATAATGAGTGAGGAAGGCGAAGCTAATGAATTGCCAATTGTGGACAAAACTAGATCAGCCATTGCTGATGGAAGTGGTAAATGAGCTCAGAAAGTTGAAGACACCAATAAAGATCCCTTAAGGAGGAGGATAAACATTGTCTCTCTTTCTCTATCTAATTTTATGAAAATATATATATATTTAGCTTTTCACTTTACCTTAGATTGAGATTCCAAATGTTCGCTTAACTTATTATAATTTTTGTCTGAGCACTGTTTTAATGCTTATTTTGTCGTTGATTTTCGGTTAACCTTTCATCATGGGAAATGTTTGAACTCCCAATATTTTGTGTGCCTTTGGTTCCGTTTTAATCAAAGTGTGTTTGAAGAAGTTAATTGGATCAATACAAACCTAATTTTCATCAACTTTTGCACAAATGACAGTTTGAATTTCTAATATTGTTGCTCTAGATCTTAGACCATTAACTCTTGGTTGGTTAGAAAGAAGTTACAAAGTTTAGTTTTCGATGAAATATGAATACTAAAAATAAAAAAAAAACTCAGACCCAGAATACAACAAGAGGCTGGAAAAAACACCTCAAACAAAGCAACAAAAAAAAAATACAAAAAAAAAAATAAAGTAACGAAACAGCCAACATACAAGCTACACTGTCAAAGAGAAGCAAACAGCTAGCAACCAAAAACAAATATTGCTATTGGCCACACCTACAAGTGTATCTCAAAGCTCCTAATTGATCCTAATTAGTCAGCTTTTGTTTGTGGAAGGAATATCAGTGACAACATCATTTTGCCTTGGGAACTCTTCCTTGGCTATCACAAGTCTTCCAATTCCCACAGGTGTGCTTTAAAAGTTGATATAAAAAAGGCCTTTCACAGGGTGGGACTTCATCCTTGACTCTCTTCACCTTTTTGTTTTACTTCCCCTTCCTTCACCATATCCATCATCGGGGTTCCATGGCTGTTGACCTCAATGCTAATGGGAAAATAAAAAAAATTAATGTGACAAAATATAAATAGGGTCTAAAATGAATGGAGTTGTCACCTAAAATCAAGTTTTGGTGTGTTAGGTTACCTAAAGTATGTGATTATGAGTTAAATGAATTGACCCTATGTGACGACATCCATGTGGTCTAACAAACTAGATGAATAGATTTGTACTTCTAATTACACATGGGGAAGGTGTTAGGCACCTCATATATCCATACTTATGCATAGTTACCAAGACTTCACGTGATTCTATAAATATATGCATGTGTTAGTGCACATAGAGACTTTTGAGGTTCTTATTGCTTTAGCCTTATTTGATATGAGGTTAGACCTATGATGAAGACCCAAATTCATGTCTTTTAGAGCAACCGGTATAAGGCTTTTGTTGGTAGCTAGGAAGTCAGTGTTGCTAGCATTTGGTATGATATAAGGCTCTCAATTTGTGGGATCCAGAGAAAGAATAGAAACGTACATCGCAACAGAAAGCAATGCTATTGCGAGCATGACTGGACCCACATTGGCTACAACGGTTCTTTTACCCTTTTATTATTATTATTTATTTATTTATTTATTTATTTATTTATTTATTTATTTTGATTTTTTTCTTTACTATCTCCTTCTATATGTAATTTATTTTTATTGTAAAAAAAATAATTATAATTTTGATTATTTTATTTTATTTTTTTATTTTGAAATAAATATGTATGATTTCTATTTCTTTATTTTCTGATTTTTTTTTTTTAAATTTGTCAATAAATATATATGAATTTTTTTTTTAAAAAAATTAATATTGTTAGAAATGATTTTTTTTCTTTACTATTTCCTTTTATATGTAATTTAATTTTATTGTAAATTTTTTTTTTTTATTTTTTTTTTTATTTTATGATTTATGATTTTGATATATTTTTTTTCTTTAAAATTTGTCAACAAATATATAAGAAAAAAAAATTTTAAAAGTAATATTTTATTCATCACAAACATATAATATGAAGAAAAATATTTTACTCAATATTATCATTAAACTTCTTTATTGCCAAATTTATTCCACAAATGCTCCATGAGATCTCTCCTGAGATCCCCATTGTTTTCTGCATTGCGAATTCTGCTGAGGCGAGTGGAGATGTGTGCTGCCAAAAATGATCAGTCTCGATTGTACTGTGGAAGGTAGACCGACTTATCCGTTGGAGGTGTCCATTCCAAAATGTTAGTGTCGCCCTCGTCTTCTATGATTATGTTGTGCAATATGATGCACGTTCTCATTATCTTGCTTAGGTCTTCTTTCTTCCAATAATATACTGGTCCATGTAGGTCTTCTTTCTTCCAATTAGATTATGATGATGATGCCATTTTTTTTCTTATATAAAAGTTAAGAATTCAGAGAAGAGAACAAGTGGTAGAGGAATCAAATACGAGAAAAATGGACTTGAGGAATGAAAGAAGAGAAACTGGACTTGAGCAATTACAAAAAGAGTAAATTAGTGGTTTATATAGCCATTGGAAATATAGCCGTTGGAATATAGCCGTTGGGTATACAACAATCTCTATAAATACGACACTCATTTCACTCAATACTCATCCTTCAACACTCATTTCACTAAATCATCATCCTTCGACATTCAATGGATCAGCGACCTCCATTCAACAACCCTTATTTTAACCAATATGGAAACTTCAAAATACCATCTCAATTCAATTCTGGGTGGCACTCTCAAGATCCAATCCATTCTGAATAAACATCTCAGCCCCAATTCCAAAACCAAATTTATTCAGAATACACACCTCAATTTCAAAATCCATTTTGTCACCCGTACACATCTCAATTCCAAAATCCATCTCAACAACCCCCATACACACCTCAATTCCAAAATTCCTCTCAACCTTCTCAATCACAACCACCCTCAAAGAAAAAGGGTGGGAATTGGTCCGAAGAAGAAGATATAGCATTGTGCAAAGCATGGATAATGATTGGTGAAGATCCTATGACGGGTACAGATCAAAGTATGGGTACATTGTGACAACGAATTCATGCTCATTGGGTTAGGCAATTGGGAGACAAGATAACGGAAGAAAAATCACACAGTGCTCTGATGAACCGTTTTTCAAACTTTCAACATAAAGTAAACAAATTTTCAGGATACTACAAAAATGTCCACAACAATCCAATCAGTGGTTACAACGAGTATGATATGGTAAGTTTTTACTTTGTACTCTATGATTATTTAATCCAACTTATTATTCTTAATTAACGAGTATGATATGGTAAGATATAGCATTATTCTTAATTTTAATCCAACTTATTAATTTCAATGATTATTTATTTTTTATAGATGAATACTATTAGAGAACTATATAAACTTCAACAGAAAAAAAATTTAAATACGAGCATTGTTGGAATGTTCTTCGGGATTCGGGAAAATGGCACATGCATTGCAACGTTAAGGAAAATCCAACTACACGACCAATGAAAAGAGGTGTTGATCTTGATTGAGCCAAGAAATTGGTCTGAATCGACTCCAACAACACCAGGTTCATCAACTCCTACAATATCAACTCCAGGGTCGGTAAATCTTGGTGATAACGATACACCAGTCGATACCGAAGGTTCAAATATGTCACGTCTCGAAGGACAAAAAGCAAGGAAGATTTGTAAAAGAAAACTTCATCTCTTGAAGCAAGTATTCTTAAACAATTGGAAGTTGTAACAGCACAAGGTGTCATGTTTGGTGAAGCAGGTGTGGAAGGAGAGCGAATGAGACTTCAACTTTCCATGGAGAAACAACGGACTAAGCAACTGGTGATAGAATCAAATTTGGAGAAAGAACGGACTAAACAGTTAGAAATAAAAACAAGAGAAAGGATGGCTGAAATGGAGTTTGAAAATGAGATAATGCGTCAAGATCCATCAAAGGCTCCAACAAAAGCATCAAAGGCATCGATCGTTCAATAACAAAATCAAATCTTAAATAAACTAAATGAAGGTGGTGGTCATATGTAATTTATTTATATTTGTGAGAAAATATGCAATGTCTTTTTATTTTATTTATTTAATTGTGAGAAAATATGTAATGTCTTTTTTAATTTTATTTATGTAATTGTGAAAAAAATATGTAATGTATTTTTGATTTATTTAATTATGAGAAAATATATTAATTTAAATGTATTAAAAGAAGTATTCTATTCAAATATATAATAATTTTTTTTTCAAGTGGTTGAAAAAGTAGCCGTTTTAAAAAATACAAGCAAACAAAAAAATAAATATGTTTTAAATTTTTTTTACTAAAAATATTATATGTATTTAAAAAATACAAAAAAAAAATAAAAAAATAATAAATATCAATTAACCCATACCATGACTAAACGATAGCACTATACTGTTGCTAGCCACATTAGCACAATTGCTGATGTGGCTAGCAATCCAACAAAGCCTTGCTAGCCGGTATTGCTAGCATTACACCGGCTGCCCTTAGGAACAACATACATCTATGACTAGACCTCTCAATGGATCGAATTCTGATCCAAATCCGATTCGATTAGACGAATATGGATTGAATACCAAATCTGATAACCCGATTATGATCCAAATTCGGTAACCCAATAACTTAACAAATCGGATTCGGATTAGGCCTAATTCGATCTGTTAATAATCTGATCCGATTATAATTATATTTATATTTTATATATCAGCAAATATCCACCATTAGATTTGTTAAGAGATATAAAGACCAATCACAAAATTATATGTACAGAAGTATAGTGTTCTCACCCACACAATAATATCTCTCCTAGTATATGCACATCACCTAAGCTTCAGTTAGCCACAAACTGAAAGCTCTAGAACCCTCCCCTTAAGATAGTTTCAGGTTGGAGAAACTCATCAACCAAAAGAAAAGGAGCTCGTTGATTAATCGGAACCCTCGTTCAGTGAGTATTTTGTTTGCATATTCTCTAACTCTCCTTTTCCTTCTCTTTTTCTCCACTACCCTCATTTTTTATTCCCTGATTTTCTCTCTTTCACAACAAAGTTATTTCAATTTTGTTTCCCTCTCCTCCTCATCAGCTTCTTCTTCCCCTTCTCTATCAATTTTTCCTCTCTTTATTGTGATTTTATTTCCTTAACAAATAATACAAAACCAAGTGATATTATTTCACTGGTAAAAAAAAATTGTAATATTCTTCGTTCTACCTTCAAATAATTTTCTATTAAATATATTGTTAGTGAACTTGAGATTTGGTTTTAGTTTTTGAGTAGTTAAGAGTGAGGAAGTTGTTTGCCCTAATTG